TGTTAAATCCCCCGCTCCTAAACCTTTCATCAGATATGTCACCTACTGTAAAATAGACACGGATTATATCACTACGAGTTTAAACTAAGCAGAAAGCATAGTAATTTCTAAGAAACGGACGCTTTTGTCACTGGAACGTCAAAGGACTGGGAATTAAGTAGTATTCTAGAGATACATTTTTGCCTCCAAATATGCTTTCCTTTAGAATAATCTTTCACTTGAAATTAAATATCGTCTACACTAGAAATACTCAAATACAAATTACATAACAATTTAAAGTCGGAAGATATAAAGTAATTATTGTCCGTTTAATTCCTAAACACGCAACTTTTGGACTTTGAAAGAGTCCTCTTGGGAGTTGAGACCGTTCTCCTGATATTTATTGATTTAAAAACCCGCTGATATTGTCCTCTGACAATATCTAGCTCCTCCGCTGATATTGTCCTCTGACAATATCTAGCTCATGCCGACACGCAACGGAATGTTGATGGCCATGGCGGGTTCTTCTGCTTGCCCTACCTTGTCCGTGGACTCTACAATCAGCAAGGGTTGGTTGCATCTCGGACGCTTCGTTGCATATCTCCTCCCGTCTACTATCCCCTCCGCGTTTCAGCCCCTAAACATACGAATAAGGCCCGCAATGGGCTCCCACTGTCTCGCCTCCCTGATTGTTGTTCCTGTGGATAGCGGTACGATTTTACGGTGGTAGACTGTTGCCGTTGCAGTTACATGACTTCTCCCACGATAATGAGCGGTTCGAACACTCATACGCTCCCATCAGCGTGATGGTCCTATTACACGTGCATATTTTCCACCCATATGGATAGTGTTTTTATTTTCTCCTTAAAAGCCCCCAAATCCCATTCAGCTTATAAATGTTTTCAAAATTGTCCAAGCAGTTGTTTTCATCGTATAGTATACATCTGCCCCTCATCCTCCAGTTTTTTTTTCTCGTGAAGTTTTTGTGCAAGCGAGGGCTCGCTGAACTCGACCCCTAATTGCATCGCACGAGTTTTTTTTACTGCTTATTTCTTAGTTCATCATTTTTTTTAAAGAAAGTTAACTTTCGTTTTAAAAAGCCGACACATTGGTAGATGTGAAAGTTTGCCTACTATACTACTCATTTTCGTTGTTTATACGGTCGTTTATACAGACCAACAATTATCCACATTGTACTTATTATACTACAGTACTAAGTTTGTTAGGATGGGGTCTCCGGACCTTAAATAGAAGTTGATTATTATTCGCATTATTTTATTATTATTATTGATTAATTCATTATTAGTATTGCTGTCATCGGGTTTCGACTATTGCATGATGATATCCTGAAAAAATGCTCATCAGAGAGTGATGGAACAGGATGTTAGGTGCACACCGAAGGCGTACAGGTTTTTGTGAACGCTCTATCTTTTCACTCACCATTACCTCCCATAATTTTAACCACTTTGATTTTTGTTATGAAACTTGGATACCTATGGTTCCTCAAACTTGTATATAAATTAATTTAGAGCCAAATTTTTTAAAAATCTCATGTGGATATCAGAAAAATATACCTAATAGATATAGTATGAAGGTTAAATATGCGTTTATACAGACAGATAATTACGAAAGCCTTAATTTTTAAGTGATCTCATATGAGATCACCGAGAGGTAATGGGTTAAACCACCACATTTTGCGTTAGTGACTAAGCTCCCAATCCCAATGCGTAGCCAATCAGAGTCCATTTGAATGATTCCCAGCAGATAGACGTAATCAAAACTACACAGAACCTTCACATTCAAAATCAGTTTATGAAAGGAAATTAGCTGACATAATTATAAATGTTCTGAAAGGTAAGCAACGCAGAAGATACAGGCATTATCCGGGTCTTTCAGGAGGTTAAGACACGATCGAAAAAGATGAAAGGAGAAGGAAGGCTGATTAGCGCAGGCTTCGTAGATGGCGCATTCCATCTTTAACCGTACTTTGGAAGTCCTCCGACAATGTCACTCTCAATACCACATTCGTTGTGGCCACGGAGGATCTTGAAGTAACCCTTGTCTCCCCAGTCACTATTCCAGGAATTGGCTGCCAGCCAATATGGCGTGCCATTTTCAACACCCCAGCCGAGAAGACGGATGGCGTGACCACCGAGCATGCTGCCGGTTGTGTACTTGTAGACACCTGATTTGTAGTTCAGGAAATCAGCATAGACCTCAAAATCCGCCTCCACTGGTCCGTTTGTCATTATTTCCTTCTTTATTTGATCCTCGTGTCCATGAATAGTATAGGATTTTAGCCCTGAAACAAAACATGCCATAAAAATGATAAAGCAGTTTAATGCTCACGACACTCTGTTTTCTATATTAAAGCAGGGAGTATCCCGTAATTCTCCCGTTTTTTTCCAGTCTGCCTATCCGCCTTCGAAATATTCACGTCGCTTCCAAAATCGGTGCATTACAGTACTAACAACAATAAAAGCTACAAACGTAACTGTCATTTTTACTGTTGGTCATATCACAGCTACTGTCCTGGTAACAATGATATGCGAGTTGCTCTTTAACCCTTGAATCCTTTCAATCTAAGTATAACATCGGTGTTACGTAGGCCTTAAAAACCTGCATAAGTTCCATACAGGAAGCGACTGTACCGTGTCTCGATTACAAAATTCGATACCAGTCAATATCTGTCCCGTATTTGGAGTATATAAAAGAAGACTTCAACTACCCCATGGAAACGGTACAAGAATGCATGAAAAGGAGCAAGGATGCAAAATTGTTACAGGTATCTTTAGTATGCAAAAATGCATGAAATTTATGAAATATGAGACATTTTAGATATAGCAGCGTACAACATGGTCACTGCATTTCCACTATGAAATTGTCATCCGCGCCAACGTTTATGTAAATATAAGGCCTGTTGAAATAAAATGAGTAGTATGCCTGTAGTTATCTTTACAATCCCCAAGATTTCTGCCCTTCCCCCCGTTACAGCCTACGAACCTCGTCACTGATTATACCTCCCTTTGCATCTTCAACATCAAACCCCTCTCTATTCTTTGCTTTCAGGTATAGCTTTCCACGGAATAATTCGCCAATTTAACTTTGGTTGTTAACTACTCTATCTACTTTCAAGCGAAGTTTGCACATTTATCTTAACACGGGTTCGGCTAACCTATTAGTCTCCTCATCTTCTCCGAGCAATTTTCTCTATGGCTCCGACGAAGGACCACCAGGAATATAAGCGACCGTCTTAAAACTACTTTTTACTGTCTCGTGTCTCTCCGGAACCGCGGCGTCACCTTAAACCACCAGTCATTCAAACGATGGAATTCATATGGACGTACTCAGTCTAAACTGCTCCCCTTTCGCTGGCTACAAACCATCATCGGAATTCTAGTCTGACTCTTGAGATGTCAAGACTCCACGTCCACTAACTTTTTTCCACGAAATTTCCTGCAATAATGAGCTAACTATACAGACGTTTAACTATCTCATTCTGGATTCTCATTATAGTATCAGCCTACTTCACCCGTTATCTTATTTTCCTAAGCAGTTTTTTTCTCCTACACTCTTTTTGAAAATGGATGCCCGTTGAAATCTCTCTTAATTTTCGGCGTAGGATTTTTTTCACTACCTGTTTCCTAATTCACAATCATTTTCAAATGATTACCCAACTATTGTCCTAAAAGGAAAAGGTTTAATGTCTGCATTTCAACTGCACACATTCTCATTATTTTTATTTCAGTACTAAGTTTGTTTCGATAGTGCACTCTTGACGCTAACAAATATAAATGTCAGATTTAAATGTCAGATAATGGTTTAAAAGTTTGCGTGGTCCTTTAACAGATGATTATCCAAAAAACTTTTGAACACGCTTACTGTGGGTGAATGCATAACACACGTTGGCAAAGAGTTGCACTGTGGAACGACACTTTGATAGGAAATTTAAGTGCTTTGATTTGTGCGGCTCAGTTCCTTCTTCAGCTAGGAATCATATTCTTCGTGTCATTTAAAAGAGGCGGTATAGAATAGACGGCTATTTCCAACCTAAATGTGCTTTCAACTGGTCGAAGAATTGACCTCAGAGCGAATGCAATACAGGCTCGACTGTTACTAGGGTGCGTGTAGGTGGTACTTTTAGTAAAACAAAAGCTGAACGACTAAAGTAAAGTGTTATTTTACTTTCTATTTGGGAATGCCAACAGAAACTGTCTGCTGTCCTACCGATTTGACTTTCGAAACTTCGAGAGGAGAGGGCGCATTAATACATGAATAAGAGCAGAAGCTTACCATAGTGCTTATCCTTTGCGTACGGTGTCGGATAGCCCTCCTGGCACTTCTTATTGCAAGCGGGAGTCTCAGCATCACCGGTGCAGGGAGGTAGATCACCCTCAGTATGGTGTTCACAGGGTGGAATCTCGTAGGGTCGGCAGGTGGTGTTGTCACCATAGAGGCCACCAGTTACGAGACCCTCCTTCACCCAGTACTTCCAGGCTGCAGCGGGCCAGCCGCCATTGCAGCCACTGCCGCAGGTATGACAACAGGAGACAAGGTCGTCGGCACTAATTCTTACCACCTCCTTCCCCTTGGAATGAATGCAGATGCGGTCTGAAATGGCCTCCACGGCGCCAAATGCCTGAGGGAGGAAGTAAAAATCAAATATGGGACTCGAAATAATCGAGTAGGGGAGGTAGAATCACATTAAATGATGCCAGTAGCTTCGCATACCGTTGATACCATGACGATAGCCGGTAGTTAGTGGAAACCTGCCCAAAATTGGACCAGATCGGAAGGGGAGCGTAACTGGTAGTTGCACGGTTGTCATATCCAAACACGGGTTAAGAATTTACGAGACTGTAACTCACGTCAACCGTCTAACAAACGGCCGAATTTTAGAGCTTCTGTCAATAAGAGAACCTTCTGTGTTTCTGTGGGTGCAATTGGGGCTTTTAGAACGATACAGTAGTAACGCTATCTGATGAAAATTGATTGCAAGTTGTGGCGTGCCTGTGACGATTAGGTCTAGCTGTCAGAGCGCATAAAAGTTTTTGATTGACCTGCATTGATCAAAGGTATCATTACACGATCGGCAAACACTTTCCTACTATTGTTGCTGTTTCCAATTACAACTGATTTAATGACACACGATCAGGTCAATTCAAACGCGTTGGATTGCTGAAGCTCAATAAATAGAACGTTTCTTGATTGGATAAGTGGAGGTTTACCGTCCTTCGGATGTGGTCGACGCCTGGGCATGGGTAATACAACCAGTTGGCGTGGTAGAACTTCAGTCACTCATTTGTTTATTCAATACGTCTGTGACAAACTGAGCGGCTGGATATATCAATTTATTGTAAGTGAATACGAATTGGTGGTAAAAAGAGTGCGGCATTGCATCACTTGTCATCTTGCTCCACAAAAGGCTATATAATCTGTTGTACTCAGTCGCATGAAGAAAAAAGTTTCGGCCTTTGAAATGACTTGATCGGCAAAAAGGTATCTATCGGACAGGGTGTTGCCAGCAGTCACGATCTAATTTAGAAGCCATTATTCTCCCTTCAACGACAAGACGAATCTATTCTTTCTTTTAGCTTTCTGCATCTGCAAATTAGGATTTTCGGATTAGGGGAAAAAGGAAGGAAGGAAGGCTTATCTGTTTGTCCAATAGATTCCACTTTCGGTTAATTCACAAATAGTAATACGTTCATCTATCGCTCCCGTCTCTAACAAATCTGTTTACCCCAAGTCTTCTGCTAGTACGGTTATACGCTTTCAGGCAATAGGATAGGATAACTATTGAGTTCATGTTTTGTGTCAGCATTAACTTATATCAGTTTTAGCCGTCTACTGGAGGCGGATATGAAGCGTAAATATCGTGGATTTCATCCGTGCATGTTTCACAAGCGGAATAGCTCAACCTATAGAATTCACATTCTCAAGCTCGACTGACGATAGATTCGAGCTCGGTTTTCTATTGGCACGGCCTGAGGACCAAGTAAGTAGGTTTTACGTTCACTAAGTCTTTATAGATGCCTGCAGGCTGACGCATAATTCTGAGGAAGATGAGGAGGGATTATATCCTTGAAGGCACCCGGGAGACAACTGACTTGTAGTAACTAGCTCCACACGAAGTGCACTTGTGAACGCTTGTCGTGACTAGCTCAAGTCGAAGTGCACTTTGGGAATGCTTGCTGCTTCCGGCCTCTGGAACAGCCAAGCACAGGCGGACTCACACAGGACCTCATGCGATGACTGCCGAACAGACATCATTTCAGACGCTGTCCGCTGGTTTTCGGTCGTGTGGTCGTCTGATAGTCAATTTCGAACAGCCTTTTCTCTTATTAATTCTACACAGAACATATTCTTCCTACCACTTTGGCCTTTCCAAGTCTTCCCTCATCTCATAGGGAACCAGGACTGGAAGATTGCAGCCGTTAGAATTAACCTTATTAGCCTTAACCATCCTCGATAGACTGATTTGCCGACACCCCCGATACTTTGATAAGTACCATTAACTCAAATAATTTTTAAGTGGAGAACCGGCAAAAAACCTTCCCAATTCCAACGTCACCGGAGTGGGCAGATTCAACCAAATCATATTAGTAAATTGGTTTTGTAAAATCGCTAATTAAGACTGCCCATGGGCAACCAAACTTCAACAGCCCGACATGATTGCTGGCTGCACGAAGGAAGTGGCGTCCATCTGGTAAGACAATTCATAAAGTATATCTTAAGTCTTTTTTAATGCGGAAAGCAACTGTAGACGAAGAAAGTTATGCGTTCAGTGTACACTGACAGGCTCGTGACCTTAGGTTGTAGGACCACTGTCCCACATCCGAAAAAGACACCCTCCACCATCATTACCCAAGGCG